GGTTCTTTTTCACGAATACGTGTTCATTCCTAAAAATTGTAATATTCTTTATCAACATATTCTATAGTCTGTACATGTGTTTCATTAGCCTCACAACCAGAGGGACAGGGTGGATATGGGCAGGGGGGAGGGGTACATTGGGGGTGCAACATTTTGTTCTGCTCCTGGCGACCATAACTGTGAATACCCCATTCTGAGCTATTGCTAGACCAACCAGTATTTATTTGGGAATATTCCAAAAACATCTGTTTATAGTACTTAGAAAGTTATAGTACACTAAATGAAGATATTTATTAAATCAGTGGTGACGTAAATGACAGATTAACTCTCGATAAAAAGCAAAATTCAGTAAATGAACAAAGTAACAATATTGCAGCAAAAACTAGAATTGATGGACTAGCAAAATATATATATATATATATATATATATATATATAAAAATTTTAATCAAATATGAATGAAATGAGCAAGTGGCATTTCTAACTATATAGTTCTTTAAATTGTATTAAATAATATTAAACAAATGCATGTATGAACAGCAGTGGGAAAATTAATCAGTGCTCCGTGTCCACTGCAGTATTTTTATATGTGATATAATTAGCCATGTCTCTCTATTATTTTAGCCACTTGGAGCTATTTATGACTGAGCTAACATGTATCTGCACATAATTTGAGCTTAATCTCATTTGTTAAGTAGTAGCTCATTCATTATTTACAGCTTATTAGGCAAGCTTACTGAGAAATAAATACTTCATAAATATGATCAGAGTTATAAATAAACAATCTGGCTTGTAAATAGTCTGGGCACAGGACATTAAGCTCTCTAGAATGATAAAAATAGGATTTTAACACATTGTTGGAGTAGGGTGAATTTCTTGATGATATATGGGTGATGGACAGAAAAGGATGCTATCAATTAAACTGGATTATCCTTAAAAATAAAAATTTAATTTTGGAGTGCCAGATACATATATTTTGAAAGAGTAGTAGTCAAATTAATTAACTTGTTCAGTTGTTGTAGAAAAATAGCAATTGGTGATAATGCAAGCTTCACCCACCATACAGGTCACACACACCATAGTCTCAGGCAGAACATGGAAATATTTACACTGCCTTCAGAAAGCACACAGACCCCAATTTTAAATTAATTTTTTTTCACATCAACATTCACACAATATTCCATAATGACAAAACAAAAAACAAATGTTTGAAAACTTTTTTATTAAAAATAAAAACCTGAAATATCACATTGGCATACACTTTCAGACCATTTGCAATGTCACTTGAAATGTATTTCAGATTCATCCAATTTCTCTGTATCATCTTTAAGATGTTTCTACACTTTGACTGAAGTCCACCTGTGGTCATTTCAATTGATTGGGTGTGATTTGAAAAGGCACATACATGTCTATATACAGTACCTCACAAAAGTGAGTACACCCCTCACATTTTTGTAAATATTTTATTATATCTTTTCATGTGACAACACTGAAGAAATGACACTCTGCTACAATGTAATGTAGTAAGTGTACAGCCTGTATAACAGTGTAAATTTGCTGTCACCTCAAAATAACTCAACACACAACCATTAATGCCTAAACAGTTGGCAACAAAAGTGAGTACACCCACCTGAACTGTCCTGTAACTATTTAATAATACAGTGACTGTTATATATAGCCCATGGTCCCATAATTCCCACGGTTATCGTTAGAAAGTTGGAGTTAAAATTAGTTTTATAATTGTGGCATAATGGTTGGGAACTACCCACTTACTATACTGGCTTTACTTAACACTCCTCCCCTCCCCCCCCTCCCCACCATAGGCACAACAGTAATTGCCACCTTACGAGTATAAGGGGGGGCACAGGCCTCTCTCACCTATCCTCAGCCAACTGGATCCTAACCAATTTTGTGTTCAAAGAGGCATCCAATGCATCCTGTCCCACATTAACCTATTGATCGCCAGATTTGCAACTCTTAGGAAGGAAATGCATTAAAGCTATTTAACTGCTCAGCATTTCTTGTATTTCTTCTATATATCAAAACTGTGCTACGTTATCACTGCTGACAAATGTATACCCTGAAATCTCATATTACTCTAAAAATGTGCAAGTATTGATATGCCCTAATGTTATAACTGTTAATGGACAAGCATGTGGATTACCTTTGGGGTACCACAGGCATATTGTCTTATCCATATGCATTGAAAAATAAAGAATTAAAAAAAAAAAGTGAGTACACCCCTAAGTGGAAATGTGCAATTTGGGCCCAATTTGCCATTTTCCCTCCCGGTGTCATGTGACTTGTTAGTGTTACAAGGTCTCAGGTGTGAATATGGAGCAGGTGTGTTAAATGTGGTGTTATCGCTCTCACACTCTGTCATAGTGGTCACTGGAAGTTCAACATGGCACCTAATGGCAAAAAACTCTCTGAGGATCTGAAAGAAAGAATTGTTGCTCTACATAAAGATGGCCTAGGCTATAAGAAGATTGCCAAGACCCTGAAATTGAGCTGCAGCACACTGGGCAAGACCATACAGCAGTTTCACAGGACAGGTTCCACTCAGAACAGGCCTTGCCATGGTTGACCAAAGAAGTTGAATGCACGTGCTCAGCGTCATATCCAGAGGTTGTCTTTGGGAAATAGACATATGAGTGCTGCCAGCATTGCTGCAGAGGTTGAAGGGGTGGGGGTCAGTCTGTCAGTGCTCAGACCATACGCAGCACAGTGCATCAAATTGGTCTGCATAGCTGTAGTCCCAGAAGGAAGCCTCTTCTAAAGATGATGCACAAGAAAGTCCGCAAACAGTTTGCTGAAGACAAGCAGACTAAGGACATAGATTACTAGAACCATGTCCTGTGGTCTGATGAGACCAAGATAAACTTATTTGGTTCAGATGGTGTCTAGCGTGTGTGGCGGCAACCAGGTGAGGAGTACAAAGACAAGTGTGTCTTACCTACAGTCAAGCATGGTGGTGGGAGTGTCATGGATGACAGCATGAATGCTGCCGGCACTGGTGAGCTACAGTTCATTGAGGGAACCATGAATGCCAACATGTACTGTAACATACTGAAGCAGAGCATGATCCCCTCCCTTCGGAGACAGGGTCGCATGATAGCGACTCCAAACACACCTCCAAGACTACTACAGCCTTGCTAAAGAAGCTGAAGGTAAAGGTGATGGACTGGCCAAGCATGTCTCCAGACCTAAACCCTATTGAGCATCTGTGGGGCATCCTCAAATGGAAGGTGGGGGAGCGCAAGGTCTCTAACATCCACCAGCTCTGTGATGTCATCATGGAGGAGTGGAAGAGGACTCCTGTGAAAGTGGCAACCTAAGTGGAAGTGGCAACCTGTGAAGCTCTGGTGAACTCCATGCCCACAAGGGTTAAGGCAGTGCTGGAAAATAAGCCACACAAAATATTGACACTTTGGGATTTGGACATTTCCACTTAGGGGTGTACTCACTCTTGTTGCCAACGGTTTAGACATTAATGGCTGTGTTGAGTTATTTTGAGGGGAAAGCAAATTTACACTGTTATACAGGCTGCAAACTTACTACTTTACATTGTAGCAGAGTGTCTTTTCTTCAGTGTTGTCATATGAAAAGATATATAATAAAACATTTACAAAAAATTGAGGGGTGTACTCACTTTTGAGAGATACTGTGTGTGTGTGTGTATATATATATATATATATATATATATATATATATATATATATATATATATATACAGAAATATAGGGTACAGGAGGCAAGCACTCACGGTCTTTTCTGGTCTCTTTAAAAGGTTGTTCTTTATTTCATAGATTAAAACTTGATTTGATCGACGTTTCAGCCAAACTTCATGGCTTTCATCAGGATCTTAACAGCTCGAGCCTCCATAATTCCTTAATTAAAACATTTGGAACAACCAGCTCTTCCTACAGTTGGCCACCTGATGAAATTGAACATTTGATGGTCATGGGCTTTGGTAAGAGAGTTGACCAAGAGTCCAATGAGTTCCAGTGACCATGTGTGGAAATGGAAGAAACTTGCAGACACTCAAATGATCTACACTTTTTGGCAAGTTGGTCAGACGGAAGCCTCTCCTCAGGACACATGAAATCTTGCATGAAATTTGCAAAAAAGCATATAAAGGAAGCTCAAAATGTGTGAAATAAGATTCTGTGGTCTGATGAAATGAAGATTGAACTGTCTGGAGGAAACCAGGCACTGCACAAATCATCCTAATGGTGAAGAATGGTGGTGTTGCATCATGATTTTTGGGGATGCTTTTTAGAGGCAGGGATGGGAGACTGCTCAAGGGAAAGTTGAACACAGTAAAATACAGAGATACCCTTATGGAAATCTGGTCCAGAAGACTCTGGACCTCAGACTGTGTTGAAGGTTCACCTTTCAAAATTACAATGATCCTAAGAATACAACGCATTAGTAGCTTAGGGATAACTTTTTGAATGGTTGTTCACTAATGGTCTCCATCCAACCAGCTTGAGAGAGTCTGCAGAGGTGTGTGCAAATCAGTTGTACAAAACTGGTTTCATAATTCCCCCCAAAAATTGATGCTGCAATTACTGCCAAAGATGCTTTAAAAAAGTGCTGAGTTAAATGTCTGAATAATTATGTCAATGTGGTATTTCATTTTTTTTCTGGAATATATCTGTAATGGTTTCACAAATCAGACCTTAAATTAGATCACCTAATCTGATATTTTCAATGTATTTTCAATCATTGTTAAGTTTAGCTATTGGGTTCAAAATTCAAGCTGATAATGATCAACTCCTGGTAAGCTTTTCATAGCTTTACTTTTATTTATATTAAATTGCTTACTTTATCATAGAAGGCAGGGGGACTAACTGAGAAAAAAAAAATTGTTTAAAAAAAAAAAAAAAAAGAATATTTATAGTTAAATTGATTTTATTGGCACGGTTAAAACCCCTTCAGTCACTTACCTGAATCCACCACCAATGTCCTTTGGTGCTGGGTCAGGCTCCGCCCACGCTCATCCCCCGCTGACGTCAGCCGGCGGAGAGACCTAATGTGCATGCACGGCCATTGACTGCGCTTGTTTTAGGATGTCCCCATAGCAAAGCATTAGGTCCATTTCAATTCCAGAAATCCCTCTAGTGGCTGTCTGGTAGACAGCCACTAGAGGAGGAGTTAGCCCTCAGAGGTAATTATTGCAGTTTCTCAGTACCACTTCAATGAGCTGAAGTGGTCTGGGTGCCTTCAGTGTCTTTTTAATTTTTTTTTTTTATTTTTTTTTAACTGGCCCCTTACTCACTCTGCAGCCCATTTCCACCTCACTCATCCTGTAACCTGCAGGGTAACTGAGGGGAACATGGGCTGCAGGGTGAATGACAGTGAGAGTTACAGGGTGAGTGGGGGGCATGAACTGTAGGGTGTGACAAAGGGTTAATGATCTGCAGGGTGTGACAGGGAGGCATGGTAGGTAAGGTAAGTGTTTTTACCTTTAATTTATGCCCCTTACTTACCCTACAACCATGGCCGCACTGGGGATTCTAAAGCAGCCCTGGAAAAAAAATCTATGCCAGCCCCATAAGTCGTTGCGCCATATTTTGTCACATGTAATATGTAAGGCTATGTCTTGCCACCCTAGATGATTGATATATATATTGCTTTTTCCAATATAAAATATTGGTCCTTTCAGAGTAAAATTTTTAATTATACAGTAAGCATACTCACATGCAGACACAGACAATCTCACTGACACAAGATGATTGATACAAGCTTGATGATCATCCATTGAGGCAGGGCCAGTCGAGGGGAGACCAGCACGACGTGGGGGGGAAAAAGGTGAGTAAAAACACACATACCATGACAGACACACACCATGACACAGACAGACCATGACACAGACACACACACCGTGACACAGACAGAAACACAGACACACCATGACACAGACAGACCGTGACACAGACACACACACCGTGACACAGACAGAAACACAGACACATCATGACACAGACAGACCATGACAGAAACACACCCTAACACAGACAGACTGTGACACAAACACACATTACATGACACAGATGGACACACACACCATGACACACAGGCACCACGACACAGAGAGACCGTGTACAGACACACACACACCGTGACACAGACAGACACACACACCATGACAAACACACACCATGACACAGACAGACACACACACACACACACCATGACACAGGCAGACACACCATGACAGAGACACACACACACACAATGACACAGACAGAGACACACACACACACAATGACACAGACAGACACACATATACTCACACTGACACACATAATTTCTACCTTTGTGCTGGCGGCCACATGGGGGAGCTGAGTCTTCTGGCGGCCGCAGGGGGAGCTGGCTGTTCTGCCTCTGCTCCCCCACTCCAGCGCGCCGCTTAATGAGACCGGGGCCGGAATATTAAGTCATATTCCGGCCCTGGTCTCTTTCTAGCGCGTGAGGGCGGGGGTGCAGAGGCAGAACAGCCAGTTGCCTGCCCGGCCCCAGGTGCCAACGGCCCACCGGGAAATTTCCCGCTATCCCGGTGGGCCAGTCCGGCCCTGCCTACAACCCATGTGCCCCTCTTACACCCTGCAGGCCATGACCCCCACTCACTCTGCAGCCCATGTCCCATGTCCCTATGCCAAACCCTGCAGATCATGTTCCCTTGTTACTCGCCCTGCAGCCCATGCCCTATTTGCTTACCCTCCAATCCATGCAGCGGCATAGCTAGAGCTTTTGCCGCCCTTATCTCGACCCATGTCATGTCCGGTGCAGTCGCAGACATCTGTGGCTGCACCAGACATACTTCTTTTAAGTACTCAACGCCTCTAGCCCAACACAGTTTGTAACGGATCGACGGGCACCCCGACTGGGTACCTCCATTGGTGGATGCTCCTAGCGCTTCCTGAGGGCTCCAAGCACTCCAGCAGACACCATAACCACCGTGGACTCCTTCAGAGAGCAAGACAGGAACAAGCTCTTAGAAGTGCTTAGTAGTGATATAGCAAGGGAGTATGAATAGCATAGCAATCCCTTGTAGCAGATTCCTCCAATAAGAGACGGCACTCCGAATTGAGGGTGAAGTAGAACTCATTATAATTTTTACTATTTATTACTATTAGGTTTTTGCTGGCTGATTATATGTTCTTTTTCTTCACAATTTTCTTATATTTAATCCATAGTTTTTTATATTTTAATTAGGTACTTATGTGTACCACAAGCAAGATGGCCACCTATTATGGGCACTAAAGCTTTATTTAGCTTATTCCCCAACCAAGATGGCCGCCACCATCATTTCCTTCCTTATCAGCCCTTTTTTCAGCCGTCCCTCGGCCATTCTCCCTTCCGGTCCTCGGCCACTCCCCTTCCCTATTAGCCCAATATAGGGCTTCATTCTATTACTAACAAACCCCAAATACATGTAGTTCGCTTCCTGACTACATGTCCCATAATACCGTTGTAACGGATCGCCTGGCACCCCGACTGGGTACCTCCGTTGAAGGATGCTCCTAGCGCTTCCTGAGGACTCCAAGCACTCTGGCAGACACCACAATCACTGAACCGGAGAAACAAATACATTCTCCCAAGCATATGAATGCTGTAGACAGTTGAATAGGAACCATACGAATAGGTTTACTCTCCTAGCAGTCAAACTGGAACAGCATACAATAAATCCTTCCCCCAATAATGAGACGACACTTCACTTTGAGGGTTAAGCAGGAACTCCCTGTACTGTCACATACAGTCTCTTTTATTCCCAATCCACAAACATAGTACAGCCCACAGGGCGTTACAAAACAACCAATCAATCCGTACAATACACCCAGACACTCCCACACAAAATCCTCCCCTCTGCATGTGATATGATTACTGAACACAATGGGTAATCTCATTATCACCGGCAGAGGAATACAGTTTTTACACAATATTTATAACTTCTAAAATATACATGTCACAAACATAAAACATAAATTTTCATAATCAATCCATTCAGGGGAACAACATATTAAAAAATGGCACGAATCAGACCAGGGGTTCAAAAGTTAAGGGAAAGTCCTTTGTGACTAAATGAAGCATGGCTTTCTGGCCCAAACCAGTTTCAGAGTCTTCTATCCTGGAGAGTAATTCAATTATCTCCCAGGACAGAACACAAGACTCCATTAAGCACATGGTTGCAAAAAGACACAAAACACTTTAAAATACATAAAGTCACCTTTTACACATAAGACACAGACATTTCACATATCCCCAGATAGCTGGGATCTGAGCGCACAAAACTACCGAATAGCGCTCAGATCCTTTTCACACAGTTCAACTGCCATGGAGCCGAAGTCTTTAACTACACGAATGGGCTCCATGGCATAGCTATCTGGGTTAACACATTCACATAAAGTCTGGTCCATAGTCCAAAGGCAAGAGGCGGGCAAGCAGCCTCCTCCAAGGACACGTGGCGAGGCCGGTTTTGCCACAACCGTGCGGCTGGAAGTGACGTCACGCTCATGACGCGCGTCAAGTATTCAGGACGAAAATGCTAAAATTCTTATTCAATAACGCTCTTTTTTATATTATAATCACACTACACGCATCCTATAATTTATATCTATATATTTCTAATTATAAAATTTTGTTATTTATGTGCAATAATCATTTGCTTTGTGATTGGCCTGTGCAATTTTGGTGCCAATTTTAATTAATTCTATACCTATATAAACCCTAACTAGCCAGGTTGAAAAGTTTTTTTTTATCCATTGATAAAGCCTTATATGGTGAAACGCGTTTGGATATTGTACTGTTTTTATATACTGTTAATAAATAGATTTTGGTCACTTTTTACGTTTATACCATTATCTTTTGACTACTACCTGGCTTTTTATATATATTTTATATTATATATATTTTTTTATATACTTTTTCCTTTTATTTATTTTACTTCCTGGTATTATACTCCAAAGAATCTCAGGTGGGGATTATACCACCTACGCCTTTATCATAGAGCAGTAAGCCTGCCCTATACACTGTGAGTATATTTTATTATTTTATACATCAACAATATTTTATTGAGAGCACTATCGCTGTTTTATCTTCTCTCCGAGCTCCTGATACTACCATCAAGAACACTCATCTTATATCCTACAAGCGGGGATTATACCGCTGTATGCCTACAACACTAGAGCTAGCAGAAGCTCTACCGAATGTGAGTGTATCTATTATATTTTAACATCTTTTATTTCACGTGTAGAACATACTGCACCATTATTGTTTCCATTTTTATCTCCCACTTGGCCGTCTGTCACTACATAGGAGAGGATACTCGCCGTATATCCTGTAAGCGGGGATAATACCGCTGCAAGCCATTCACACCAGATCTGGATTAAGCTCTGTCAACTGTAAATAAGACCTCTCCTATTATTACTATTTTGGATCATCTTTCTCATCACTCACCACCTTCCTCCACATTTTTTGGATACCGTAACAAGTAGAACCCTACAACTTCGGAGACCACATATAAGATTCAATATTTTACTCTACTGGACTTGTTATTGTTATTTATTTTGTATATTGGCGCAGACCCATCCCCTGTCTATTTGAATTAGAACTCCGGCTTTTAACGACACACACTCTGCTTTTATGCAATTCTCGTGCAAGGGAGATTCCCACAGACAATTATGAATTACCCAGTCACACACTGGTTACATCCCACACATCTCCTCTCCTTAGCCTGAGAGGTAACACAATAAGCCGTACAGTTTAAAACATACTTTTAACCCAACATTCATAACTCTAAAACTGTACATCCAATATTAATAAAAGTCACATATTATTAATCAGCATATTTCAAATACAAACATACCCAAAAATCATTCGAATCCGTTCAGCCGTTCGGGAGATAGATATAAGTCACCTTTGACCGACCGCAAGCACATTTTCATGCCCAAAACAGTTCCAGAGAATCAGGCTAAGCAGCCGGTCTATTTCCCATGTTTAAGTCAGTTCAAACAGACGAACGACAACCATTCGAATTGTCGAACTGTCGAATGAACTGTCGAATGCATTAATTCCAGGGAAGGTAAAACTTCAGCGGTGTTCGTGCCGTTCTGTAGCCAATTTTAGTTCCATGAATTTGACGGCACACACCGCTGACTGCATTCGAATAAATCAAAATGGCCCCCGCCACGTGTTCGGTTTTCTAATGGTGGTCACTTCGACTACTGCGGCACTTCGGCTGCATCCTAAGTTCCATGACAAAAC